TTATGGTCAGTGATTACGGGCGCAATACGGTTAGTGATTACGCACGCAATGGCAGTCGGTGATAGGCTAAGATAAATCAGGATCTAGTATAATGAGCCTAGTATATGAAATGAGTGGCTTAGAAGTAGCAAGCAGTTTGCGAACTACGGACCTAAAATATATTCACTTCACATTTTGCGCTCTACTGCGCACAACTCAACAATAACATATAGTCCACACACTCTATCGGACACACCGTATAATTAATCGCAGTAGTATCGTCTCGTTTAACTCTGCTGTTCGCTGCTTCGTTTCACCACCACCGCCGCAGCGGTACGCACTGAAATGAATGATTAAATTTTTTGTCACCAAAATATGTCGATACATGGAGTAATTTGTAAAGTCTTAAATTGAGAGGTTCAATCTTCTTACGACTTACAATTAAAGGAAAAGATGAGATCTTACTCGGATTTCGAGAAATCAAGTTTCAAAAAAAGTATGATACGAAGTACCAACAATGCAACTCATTGAACTAAGTCTTCTCGCTTTAGCCAACTCCGACTGTGCTGTATCGTAGTTAGTATAAAACGAAAGGAAGGTGCTGTGCTGAACCTAAATTTTGGAGAATTTGACGCGATTCTTCAACATCGCCCATAAGCTTTTAGCAAAATGAAGCCTGTGTCATTCAATAGTACCAGATCCGCCAGGCCGTCGGAGTCCATGAGGAGAAGGCGTGTGTCCCATGAGATAATACTCTGGACATCTCCTTTTCAGGCTGTAGCGAAATTTCTGCAATAGTCGCTACGTTTCTGGTAGACTACATTGACATACTATTTGTACCGTTTGGTTTAGCAGTATTTTTACTTAGATAGTCTGGATTTAATGGCTTTAATCGGCGATGCTGGCTGTCTTCGGCTTTCCAGCCTTGTCCTGCAGGTACATTTGCCGATTATTTAAAATGTCGGATACTAGCAGTGTAACTCAAATCTCATTAGAGTTAGTAGAGGGAGGAAACGCATCATCCTTTTGCACGGAGACGGACAGGGTCACGATGAATGCAATCATCGACAGCCGCATATTCCATGTACGATCATTAATGCCACACGTATATGTTATATAGATGGTGATCTATTCTGCCATCGATAAACAAGTCAGATTTCTAAATTCTTTACTTCACAAATAAATACATAAGAACCAGGTTCATTTTTGCCCCCACTGATTATTTTCTGTGTTAATTGACATTCCTACAGTATTAGATTTGCTTATGAAACCGCTAAATTTGCATTGTTAGTTCTATTGCCGCTGCAGCGGCCTGTGCTGAAATACTTTAAATAAACCGCTTGTTTCAATTCCCAGAGAAAGTCTCCATTCAGTACGTGCAAGTGATAAATCGAGCTTTCTTCAACGTCATTGCCTCACCTCTAGAAAGATAAGGCAATTTCTTCTTCACCCTCTTTGCATCCGCTCTAGCAGATACATGCAAATTGTCTGCGACCGGAGTCACATATTCGTCTGCAAAAGAGGTATATACAGGATTCTAAATGTACCCTATTTTATCGCCGCCTCTTACATGCGCGTCTGGTTTTTGAATGATATTCGATATTGGTCCATCGCCGCGTGGTAAATGATCGCCAAGATTTCCGTGATAAGATTTAAAGGCTCAATATGAAGGTTGCGGCCATTCCGGTCACTGGAAGGTGCGAAGAGAGTTTTACGAGCTTCACTGCGCAAAAAGCGATTGAAAGTATCTTAACCTTTAACAGCTAGCACACTCATTTGCTGAGGCTTAATTAAATGTTATCGGTCATCGGTGATGTAAATAACGTAAGAAGACGGTAGAATCGCATTAAATTTTTTAGATGGTCAGCGTAACGGCAGAAGTCAACCCCGACAGCCACATCTACAGGGACTAGATTCATTTTCGACATCAGCAATTGTCTTCCAAACGTTTGATTGAATGGAAGGATCCACAATAGACAAGTCCTTTGCGTTTCGTTCATGTTACCAGCACGTGACCATTCCTCTTCGTTTGGTGTGAATGTATCTTCAAAGTACTTTGATTATCAACAAGAATTGATACATGTGTCCATGGCGTTGCAGGTGACTATTCTTGTCCTTGACCTAGGCGTGTCGTTCCCAGTCAAATATCCATTGCTGCTGCGCTTTCCTTAATTCAGCGAAGCGTCCCCCGTAGCTTCACATGAATGAAGACGAGAATGAAACTTTACGATTCAGATGGTGTGTTTTTAAGTCTGGAACGGAATGGACGGAGATTTCGCGCCACGATGTAGCTCACATTTTTTGTTGCGAAGCTTGAGAGCTATTAAATTCGTCCACAAAACTATGGCAACGATTTTGTTTTTCTTGATCTTGGTATGATGTTTCTGTACATCCTTTAAGAGTGACATCCGAAGAACTTTGATTTGCTATAAAAATGCAGTACTTAATCGAACGTCATAGTGTAACTGTTCGTGTAATGGTTATTTTACTCATTCAAATATAACACGGCCAACTTTGAGCATGCCATTGCAATCGTAAGCAATGTTCATTGCCTCTAAGCCTTTAATCCACTCCACGAACCGTTTTTCGACAGCATCGTGGGACAGTATACGAATTTGGTGGTGCTTTCATCGTTTTAAATTCGGAAGCAGGTTGAGAGTTCCGACCGATTTACGAGTTACGTTTGACGTCGTTGCATGAACCGCTTTAAAATGTTATTAAAGCTCAATGATTCAAAACAATGGAAGCTTGGTAAAGGAGCAACATTCTGCAAATTCGTCTTAGCTTTTGGCATAAATGAACAAGAGCGAGAAAGTATTCGAGAACTTGTTGACTTTGAAAGTGAAAGCAAGGACTTCAAAGACCAACGCAGCATTATTGACTAGTTATATATTCTCCGGATATATTTAACCGACATACATACATGTGTTGCAGTCAAAACCTGATTAATTTTTTTAATTGCTGGCTATATTAATTACTCGACTTAAAATTTCTAAACAGAATTGTCAACTAAGCTCTCTATTCTAAGTGGACCTGGGTGGATCATAAAGACAATTGCAGGCCAATAGTTGAGCTCAGCTAATCATCGTTAAGGCAACGTTATTCGTAGATTGTAAGTTGTGGTTGTGTAGCATGTTGATGATAGTGTCGGCATTAGGATAAAATGTTAACAAAATTATGTACTATGAGCTGGTAAGACTATAAATTTGTGCGAAATGAAATAAACATACTGATGTAAGCAGTGTAAGGACTAGCTGCGCGGCTCGATATTGGCAGTCGTTGTTTGCATCATAACCGTGCATGTAGTCTTTTTTACCGCCGTGGACTCTCGAAGTTAATTTCAGACCTGCTTTTGCAGTAAATACATCACTTTTATGGAGTGTAGCCATGCTTGCCAATGAAACGCCGTGTTTATGCTACGCTTATATCTTGAGTTTGACTTTGGAGACGAAGGATTCGAATCATTAGTATGTTTACCAGTAAGTGTAAAACCTGCGACCAAGCCAGTTTGAACGAGCCAACGCAAGTATAAGATTTGGACGACTCATCTCACGTGCTGCAAGCTGCCCACGGATCTCGTCTTGGCGAAGTCTCATTATATTCAATTTTTTCGATGCTTTGGTACTAATGAGTTTTCACAATTTCATTTGCACTTTAACAACGGATGTACTTTTCGTACACTAGTATACTTGTGTTCGATATAATAGCAACAAAAGGTTAAGAACGACACCCCTTTTTAGGAGTCGTGTAAGCCATTTCAAGCACGTGTTGCAGGGCTTTATTCATTACACTCTAACCCCGCTCTACCCGGCCCGGGGATTGAACCCTCGACCTCCCGATTCTGAAGTGAACAGCCCACCACTGCACCACAGGATCGGTAACGAAAGGTATATGTGTACAATAGTCCGTAATTCTTCAGTAACACAAAAAATGTAAACCACATTTGGCCTTACACTCCTTTTGTATTTCAATGCACTGCACAACAGTGGTATGAACGACATATATATCGTCCAAATAAACTTTTTGCTCTCAACTCTACTTAAGCTTATCCCAATTAGCCTCCGGACAAAGCCCGGTCCTCGTGCCGACGCTATACGAGCAATTGTCGGTAAAGATGCCAAGGTGTTCTTCGACAAGAGCGGGTCCAGTGACTATATAAGTTTTGAACATATACCACTGTCTAGACTCGAAGACACACTTAGCCGTACACCGATAACACGGTCCAGCGGCGGTAAGTGTCGTGACATCCTATCGTGGAACTATCAACGATGTTGAATTCGACTTTCGGAGATTGCAAACGTGCCGTCATAGCTAAGTGAGCTTACGAGAGGCAACAGTCGATGCGTCGATCTTCCTCAGTCCTGCTCAATAAGCAAGAGATATACCACTCTCACGTGAAAGATTTGTTAAGACGGTGGGTACACCACAGCTTTAACCGACATCTGATGAAGTGTAAAAAGTGTATCTTTTCCGTGAGCCCATGGGAGATCAGGGCACCGCTCCGTTACGACTACTCTGATACCATTACCCTAACGACCTGATGTACCCTCGTTCTTTGTTGTTCGTGAGAAAGAGGCTGAAATACCCATCGTAACGCGCTTTCACTGGTGAGAATGACCCTTAAAGGATAGTTGGAACAGCCGTCTCATGGAGACGACTCTGATGCTGTAAACAGGATGAGCTGAAGTTTATTGGCTTATACTCACTGTTTGCGGCGTGTGCTGAACTTTGCAACGTCAATTTGCTAATGCTCAAGTTGGGCGATCGTTTCACTGAAGCTGACTCGTAAGAACTCCAGACACGGTGTGCATCCAAAGATGAGATTAAGAATCCGCTCTCTGAGATTCGCCATCGCAATGTCGAGTTGAAGTATCCCATGCGATTCAGATCCGCATCGATGCTTTAGGGTACCTTAACTACAACAGAGATCTTCACGCCCGACTGATCCGTAATCATTACATGGCCTCGGTTGGTCCATTTAAACAATGTAGTTAAAGTATAACGTTGGCTATTTTGTTTGGATTGTAAACGGATCGTAAAGGCGCGGGCGCAACTTAAGAGTTGTAGATCACATAAATTACATGTGTAGGTTAGTCAACTACATTCAACAAAATCTTGATTCAATTACACATTCGTGTGTGTTTCGTAATAATATTCTTAATTAGAGCAGTGAGGGGTCGTCAACACTATTTTCGTGCATTGAACGAAACGGGTTTAGTTGAAATCTGCAAATCTCCTGACAACTGGCGAAGCGTACATGTCATTATAAGCTAAATTCACCCACTATTTCGACGCAAGCACCGATAGCTAGCAATGATGTGCTTGAAAACAGCATGCCCGGTCATATATCGTTCAGTGTCTCTGATTGGGTGAATTCCCATCAACTGCTTTTAAGAGGCGGCAATATCCCTCTCACTGCGGTCAATGTTTTGTTCGGTGTGGCTGATGGGGACATTTTCTAACGGGGTTACACGTACCCTTATATGGAAGGGTGGGTCACACAAGATGGTATGACCGCACAATGGTATGGCTACACCGTCACGAGAATCCACTACGTGTCGGGACTGCCAATTATTAGGCATATTAACAAACTTTTACTATTTAATCGTAAAAACTTAAGGGTTTAGATGTAGGCGGCTCTGCTGCAAAAAAATAGAGAAATGCACTTATAATTTTGAGCAGAAGAGTCTATCTGACTTGGTGAAGGCTTCAAGTACTCTTAGAGGTAGCAGATTGCAATCCGCTACCCTCGTGCTGGTTCTTGGAGAGAGCGTAATGTCGGTGACCTTAGAAAGCTTCCTCTAAGCAAAGAGCTACAGGAGCCCCGCTGCACTTCGTAGCACTCGCAGTCAATCTACGCCTGAGTTATTACGACTTATCTTCTGTGAGGATGAAGCAATTCTTCTATTTATCCCAGGGCATACAGGACGGGTTTGATAAGTTGATATCCCTCGTCAGCCCTGAAGGCGTGCAACACCTTGCATTACAAGGACCTAAGGCGACAAGCGCACGTCTAGAGGCTTTTTCAAGCTATTAAATCCTCTGTCAGAGTATCTACAGCGGAAGTTGTCAGCGTCGACTATGTCCATGATACCACCGTTGACGACGGATGACTCCTTTCGACCCAGGCCGCTCATGGTGAGCGTTCAGACCTTTGAGGGTAAGAGTGAAGAGAATCTACTCCTCTGGGTGAGAGAGGTCGAGATGGCTGTCGCATCCGCCATTCTCCAGAACGAGTAACAGCGCGTGGCGCTAGCTATCTCCAAGCTCGGAGTCCAAGCGCGAGAATGGACACTAACGTGCGGTACTTCGGCTAAAGCGGCGTTCCTCTCTGGAAGGAGCTGAAGCATCAGCTTTTTTGCGAGTGTTCTCGCCGCCGAACCAGGCATATCGTGTGCGATCGTGTTTCCTTGCTACCCAGCAGGGCAAGAAGAAGTTAAATGGACTTTGCCCAAGACTTAAGAAGTCTCGTTGCCTGGATGGCAGCCGATCCCTTCTCTGAGGCGGTCGCAGTGACCGTCTATATGAATGGCCTTCGCACTGGCGTGGCCAGAATGGTATTCTTCTGTGTGCATCCGTCTTCGTTTCAGAAGCGGTGACTAAGGCATTGCATGCCGAATTCAACCTCAAGTCGGCACGACTTTGTTGGAAAACACACCCTCAGAGCTCGTCGAAAATGCCTGAGCCAATGGATCTCAGCTATGTTGGAAAAATGAAGGGAGAGCTTCGAGCTACCGAGCAGCGATGAAACACCCGATAGTGTTATGTTTGTGGAGACACCCGTTATCTTCGCACTAGTTGTTCCTTGCGCAGTGTGAGTAAAGGTTCGACGAAACCGACGTCCCGCTGGTAACCAGTCTAAATATGTTGCGGGAAACTAGAAAACACAGTTTACGCGGTGCCCTTCTAGGGGAAGAACTAAGTTCTGTTGTGCCTTAAAGCGGTTGTGAGCAGCAGGGCCCAGCCGCAAAGAGCTCTGTGCTTTTGAAAACGGAATGTGTATGCAAGCTGGGCTTGCTGGTCTAAAAAGCGACCGTGAAGGGCTTTGAGCAGACATGAAAATCCTTAGCGATTCTGGAGTGTTGAGCAGTTGTGCTTGCGTCTCTACGATAAAAGGAACTGTATGCAGAGGCGCTCGAAGTGCGGTTGAGTGCCACCGGCACTGCTCGCTTAGTGACGGGGACTTGTGTCACTGAGTCAAGGATTCCTGTGGACCTCGCTTTTTTTATAGATTTCATGACTTTGATAGGGTGGAACGCAGCTTATCGTAAACTTGTATTTAAGGAATGACCTTCTCCTTGGTATGAAATGGATGGAACACCATGAGCAATGGATTTACAGAGATCGAAGACCTTGGGCACTACGCGTACGTCTCCTGCTGGAGCTTTGGTAAGTTATGGACCCACCTCTGCTAGGTAGCAAAAGCGCTATTGGCGTGGGTACTGGACCGGGACAGTCAGTGGGCTGGATATCGGAGTATCCGAGTTGGCGAACACCGAAGGTGTACTGGACAGGGGTCCCGAGCTTGGATCTTGGGCTGAACGTGAAGTGACACGTAATCCAATGAGCACAGCTCAAGTATCAAGGCAGTTACTGAATGCCAAGAGTGGCATGGTCGACCAAAAGCCGAGTCTTCAGTGATGCACGTGGAGTGGCATGTGTTCACTGAGCACTGCTCACGTTACAAGAAGTTGCTGCATGACAAGTATATCATGGTCGGAAGAGGTCCGATGCATCTTGGAAAGGCCCCATCTGATGTGCGTGGAGTGGCACGTTATCCACTGAACGAAGACTGTGAAAATAGTAGCACTTCGTCGTATTTTGTTAGTAACATCCAGTCTTCGATGGAGGAGGGAGTGATGACACTGGACGACGCTGAGTGCGCGTTCTTAATGATCTAGATGAGACGGTAAACCTCTATAGAGAAGGGACGGCGATGCAATATG